TTGAAGTTTTCCAATGAGAGAGAATTTAATTTTTAAAAAGGAAACAATATTTTTAAAGAAATACCAAAACATCTATTGCTAGACGTGTGATGAAATTACTATAAAAATGTTCGTTCACAATAAATGGGCACATTTCATGGTGCATGCATATAGCATGGTTTGGGATTAATCTGGATCCAGAATATAGCAAGCATACTATAGTTCTTGTTTGAACGAACGGCTGGGAATTATAGGTTCTCTAATTATAATGACTTTGACAAGTTACCTAACCTTAGTAAGTCATAGCTTCCTTATCTGTATAATGAACATAATACTGTCATATCTATATATAAACATCCAGCACAATGCTTAGCCCCTATTTAAAAAAAAGATGATTCATTCAGGTTTTATTTTTCAATCTAAGACTGAAACTTTCAAAATATATATTTGAAAGTATAACCTCGTTTTTCCTTGTGAATTTTATAAACGCAGTTTACATTGAGCACAATTTGGATCAACAGGTTTTCAGCCACACATTTAGGAAGTCACAACGCAGTGCTGTGCAACAGATATCGTTTGAGAAAAAACAGAATAATCGAGCTCCTTGTTAGAAAAACAGCAATTTGAAAGTACTGCTTGAATGAACACAAGATGGTGTCAGGACTTCCAGTTTCTAGTTTTTTCTAGTGGGTTATCTAAGGTCCAAGTTTTACCCTGAACAGAAACTCTTAGGAAACTAAAATGCTACCCACAGTAAGCTCTTGAAACTCCTAACTCATGAATACTACTGAGCTTCACTGTTGAGCTCTGCGCAGGGAATCCCTTGCTAGTAGCTCTTGTGGAGTGAGAGGAAGTACTAATGGAGATCTTGGTGATAGTTGGCAAAAAGGATAGGGTACGATTGCAGGGAACCAGAGGGCTTCTGGATATGTTCATTCAAACCCTGAGCGTTGCTAAGACTGTCTTTTGTGCTTGTTCCTTCTGGGAAGGTTTATGGTAAATAAGAATACAGTTTAACATGTTTAATGCTTTGAAATTCTGGAAGAGCAGATACATACATTTAATCCTAAGTGTCTATATGAGCATGGAGGCATTCTAAAGCATGAGACGTGATAGCATAGTGCGGTAAAAATCTCAGATTATGACCTCAACCTGGCTCATCCCCTTACTCTCTTGAGCATTAACTTCAACAAACCTCAATGTTTTATTTATAAAATTGTTGTAAAAACTATATTTAGTTAATAGATTATAAGGTTTCAGTAGGATAATACAAATAAAATGTTTAACTAGCACAGTGTCTTCTGTATAAAAAGGTCTCACTATAAGTAACCAAATGCAGTAGTCCACCCTTATCTGCAGTTTGGCTTTAAGGGTTTCAGTTACCCATGGTCAACCACGGTCCAAAAATATTACAATATTTTGAGAGATAATGGGAGACCACATTCACATAACTTTTATTACAGTATATTGTTATAACTGTTCTATTTTATTGTTATTAATCTCTTAGTGTGCCTAATTTATAAATTACACTTTATCATAGGTGTTCATGTGTAAGAAAATACATAGCACACTATGTATAGGTTTCAATACTATCTGTAGTTTCAGGCATCCACTGGGGGTCTTGGAACGTATCCCCCACACATAAGCGGGGACTGCTGTACTAGTCTCAGTTCCTCAGACTTCCTGGATACCTGACAGCAGGTTCTAGAGTTCTTTACTATATACTACTTCAATCAGCAGCATCCTTGGCACACAGCATGTGTTTAATAAATGCTAAGTCTAAAATAAAAATCAAGATTTCCAGCTGCAATGAGGCTGGGGAAGACCATGCATATTTCATTTTTTGCTTTTGCATAGAAACGTGGTTTCTACGAAAGACCTAATGATAGAGGAAGCCCCATGGTAGAGTGAATCTGATAGAGAAAGTGACTAGGCTTTCATTAGTCCCAAAGCCACATTGCCCTTCTAGGGCTGCCCGTGTCAAATGAACAGAATAGCTGTGTCATTGACATAATGCCCATTGCTGCCACCATTCTTACTGTTTTGAATGTCTATCTAACAGCTGTCTTTCTTACATTATTTCGTTGAATTCTGACAATGCCTTAATAGAGATTCTTTTATCCCTACGTTTACAAGCTGAGTCCCAGAGTGGTTATATAACTTGCTCAATGCTGTACAACAGTGAGTAAAAGAGCCAAGACTAGACTGAGGGCCACAGAGAGCTGGACAGGCCTTTCTACCTGGAAAGATGGGCTAAAGTCTCCCTAGGCTGGCAGCTCTGACAGCCTGCAGGACCCTGTTGATTTGTCTCCTGACCCTGTTGATTTGGATCTAGACTTGCCTGAACCCCAGCATGTCTGGCTCCCAAGCCCAGAAGTTTCCACCAAATCAAAGGGCCAACATTTGAATAGTAAAGAAATATTCTTCAGAAAAACAAAAGTAACAAATTCTCAGGGACTCTAGAGACTCTCACCATGAATCCAGTTGCAGAAGTAGTGTCTCAAAAAACTAAAGTCTTAATATATGAAAAAGTCTTTTAATTGTGGAAGGTAAAAATGTATATTGTCATGTTATAATGGAAATGAACATCATGAGTTTAAAAATTCTCATACAATTTGTAGTTTCTCTTGATCGGGACAGTGTGGTTGCACAACCTAAATGGAAGGTAATTCTTTTTGTCAAAAAATGTTCTTTAGATGTGTACCAAGCATTCCAATGTACATTCCTAGGGCCAGGGTGAGACTCATCAGTTTTTGAAATGTCACTGTTTTCAAGTTATGTATAAATCCTCTAAATTGTGTCTATGAGTTTCTAGCAAAGTGACATTACTGTCTTTGCTCTGCTGCCAATCTGGGAGCCACTGAGGAAGGAAATGTGTTTCAACAAGAATTATTTATTAGAGTAAGTAAGTATATTAACATGCCCTGGGTAAAATGACAGAAGCCATGGTTAGAAATCAAATTTCTTCATCTCCTTGATGTGTTTATCCCTAACAGTAGACTCTGAATCTGCATAGTTAACAGCATTTTTTTATTTCTTGGACAAGGCACATTTCCTGTGAGAAATAGCCTCCGCTTTATCTGTTTGTCTCAACACTTATGTGAGTGAGATTTGTTACATGGCACCAGGCACCTGCTGAGCTTTGGTTTGTAATCTTTCCCTGATCAAATTATATTCCCATTTTATCTTTTCATCTATTTTATAAACTCATCAAGGAGGATGCCTTCCACTTTCCAGCTTCTCAATTACGTGCCTAAGGGTTTTCCTTAAATTTTTATCCAACCTAAAAACAAATAAAAATAACTTAATGATAGAACTTCATGACAACTAAATAATAGAATGATAGAAATGATTTTTATCATTTCTGTCTGAGTGATAGAAATCTCCTAGCCTACTTTGAAGCATGTCCAAAGCAACTGTGAAGTTAATTTAATGGAATTATCTCTTTTTTGAGGCCTGCTGTTGTAACTTTCCTCATCTCCATGCTGGTAAAAAATGCTGTTGCTTTGTGGATATTTTCTTCAAAGGATTTAGGAAGGAAATCATCTTCCCCAAACAGATCATCATTGTACAAATATCCTGAGATCTACAGAAGTGGAGTGACCTGCCCAAGAGCTCATGGCAAGTAAATAAGTGTCTTAGTCTAAGCACATCCGGAATAACAAGTATTGTCATTTTCCCATGCTTAGGCCAACGTTTGCAAACAGCAGGGAAAACAACTGCAGACTGAGGACTGAAGGAGATGAGTAGATGGTCATTAGCAAATCCCTGGAACTGGGGATCACCTGCTGGATGGGATCGAAACAGGGAAACCGGCTATTCATAAGCACATCAAGGACGAGTGGGCCATTGTTTTCAGAACCAGCTGTGGAGAATCTGCTCAACATTGGCCTTGGAACAGCTGCAGCTGCTGCACGAAGTGGGGAGGGAAGAAGGGAGGGTGGAGCGGTGCTGGTCAAAGAGTGAGCCAGCCGGGAGGGCTGCAAGAACCCCTCCGCGCCACCTCCAGGCAAACCAGGAAGTATTTTTGCAGCAAGCTCATTGGCCTGAGCCACCTTTCCAACCTATCCGAAGTGTAAACCACGCACAGCAGGCCCCAGATGGGTGCAGTAACAGCAAACCCTCGGGGGGCTGGTGCTCGGGAGGCTGCAGGCTGGCAGCTAAAAAGTCAGAGCGGGGCTCAGTGAGTCGGCGCTACCCGAAAGTACACGGAACAGAGCAGACTCTGCTGTCGTAGCAAACCGTGACAGAGCAAAGTCCCTGGTAAACAAGCCTCGCAGCAGCTGTCTCCAGACGCGCGGCCCCTGCGCGTTCCTCCACCCCGCGTTTCCCACGCGCCCAACACTGCTCTGCAGTCCCCGCCGCCCTCTCTCCGGCCCCATTCTCTGATCGCCCCATCTCTGGGCCCCAGCCCAGGCTCCCACCCTGGCGGCTGGCGCACCACACTCACCATCTCTTGCTTGAGGAGGTGAAGCTTGGTTTCCAGCCTCTCCAGGGCGCTGGAGTGGCTACGTCGTGGAGAGCCAGAGGTTGGGGAGGACGAAGAGGAGGACGACAAGGAGGGAGGGAAGCTGCAGCTGCTGCTGCTGCTACTGCAGCCGCCACCACCGCAGCCGCCGCTCCCCCCGCAGGGGTCCCCGTCCTTTTCCTGGGGAACCGGCTCCTCCCCACGGAGCGAGCGCACTAGGCTCTCGGGGACTTTGCGTCCCAGCTTCAGCTCAATGTCCCTGAGGTCTGGCAGCGGGTTGTCTTCCATGACTTTTCGAGAACGGTGATAATGGTAATAAAACGCCGCGGATGAGAGGCAGCCACGGCCTAGAAGGCTGCCGTGAGATCAGCAGACCCCTCCCGGCCTCCGGGTCTCTATCCTCGGCGGATCCAGGGTACCGTCCTCTCCATAACCGCCAGCGCGGTGCCAGCCCCGAAATCCGCACAGGACGCGGCGCTCACAGCCGCAGGTCCCCGGCCGCTGCGACTGCTCCGACACTTCCTAAGATTATCGAGATCGCCTCATTCTCCTTCTTTTTGGCCACCTCACTGCCAAGTTGAGTTAATTGATATTGCGGAGAGGAGGGAAAGCAAGTACTAAAGACCAAAAGAGAGAGAAATGAAATCTGTTTTAGCTTTATCGGGGGAAAAATTCATATTATAAAACTGTCCGTTCCCATCCCTGCGCCGTTCACTGACTGCCCATCTGGTAGTACGCGACACAAAATAATGATGCGGTCAGAAACGATGTCCTGGGTCGTTTCATTTTCCAGCCATATGTCTCCAGCTTTCGAGATATCCCGAATTGTCAGAAATAATCTCCGGTCAGTGAAAGAGGAATTCGGTCGTGTGCATGGACGCATAAAAAAAGAGTTAGCTTAGCAGGAGTTTAACGGCTTCCTTGATGCAGCAGAGATACCCTTCTTCGCATTTAGGCTGTTTGATCCAAGTCATTGTGTTCCTGGAAGCCTGGAGCCTCAGAAACTTTAAACTCCGCTGGCAGGTGGACCAAACCAGGGCCAACCCTGTACCGTATATCACAGACAAGAAGAGCAACAGAATTTACCCAACCCTGCTGGTAGTAGTACAGTTCCCATGCCCTGCCTTAGTTAAGAGTACCAGTATTAGGGTATTAGATTTTCAGTTTTCCCAACAAAATCGCCTTTAAAACGGTTGTGAAAAATTAGAGGAAGAACAACGACTTTAAATTTGGTGTCATTTCCCATCCCCCTACCTTATTAAAAGGAAAAATCCTAGCTTTAGAAGTCTTTCCTAATACTTTTATACTAACAAAAAGAGTCAAATGATTTTTCCAAAAGTTCAGTGAATATGTACAACTCAAATCAATTATCTTACCAAATGTTATAGTATGTCACTGCAAGCCAAGTGAAGAATTTAAATAGGCAGAATAATTTACATGACTACTGAGATAGCGGTGAAATTTTAAAAGTGGACAGTTGCTGAGATATTTTAACCGTGGAAAAAAAAATATTGAGCATAAATAGTGAAAACATTGTCTTTAACGACTTATCTATAATTTTTCAACTATTAGAAGAAACACAAATGGTGTGATTTATTAATCTGGGATACTTCTACCAAGTAAATTACTATGGGCTACACGGATTACAGGTTTGAATCAGCATTGAGTTTGTGTCAATAATCCTCACATAAAGGCCACTAATTTCAATCCAGTAAACTACAATTTTTGGTTTCCATTGGGATATTTCAAAGTATAGCCCCCTCTATTTCTGTAACAAATAAGTATTTCTGTTCTCGGTCCCTCCCAGGTTCCATTCCCAGAGACTTTACTCAGGTTTTTACAATTGTAAAAACATAGGCAGACACATCCCAGAGTTTGCTTTTTATCATAGCCTAATCTAGCCTTTTCTAAAAAGAGGAAACGTAGGCCTTCTGAATGAAATATTTCATGTCAGGGAGAAAGTTGCTGAATTCTCTTGTCAACATGCCAGAAATTTGTATGTTATTTCTCCCTGTTAAAAAGAAATGAAGAAAATGGTTGTAGGTTAGGTGGCCCATTTCAAAATTAGAACCACCATTTATGGAATCAAAGAAGAACAAGACTAAATCTCAACTCACTGATAAAACTACGTGCTTTGTCCTAAATTTGGAAAACCACGAGCTCATTGCATAAGAATTGCACTGTGACATGTAATTTTGGAAGGCTTGTGTTTCAGTCAAGAAGAGTTTTTTTATAATAAAACTCTTACAAAGTTCAGTAGGGCTAGCTGAGAAGAGCAGTGTACAGATGCAATTATCTAACTTGAACTAGATCAGTAAAAAAGTTTATTGTCAAATTATCATAGTGTGACTATGAAAAAATGGAACATCTTTGCTCTGAGTCACAGACAGTAAAGTTAGTATTGATGCTGAAGGTAACTCAAAACCATTTTCTTTTTTTTTTTTTTACTTTTTAAAGAAGTCTACAGAAAAGACTTCTCTGATAGTAAAAATGTGATGTATATGTAAAGTAACACTTTGTTCCAGTGAAATATAAACAAATGTAAACTTCTAAAGAAAAGCTTAGTATGTTAAGCTTTTAAACATTTTTGCAGTTTAACGTCTTATGACATTTTAGTTTAAAATAGAGACGCTTTGAATGCCAGTTTCACTAATTTTCAGAACACATTAGAATCACAGAACTTTTGTTAGGCATACAATAGATTGTGTTACCCTACCATTAATGTTTTATGTGGTCTGATCTGAGGACATTCCTTACGTAAAATATTTGAAAATAAAGGTATTTTTTTTACCTTTGGGTCTTGATCATATTTTTTATTTGTTTGCTTTCAAGATTCATCTATGATTTAAAGAAAATGTGTGAGAGGTTTTAGCTACTGCTGTTAGCCAGATATGTGAATCACACTTCTTGAGTGAAGGGATTAGTTGACAAGACTTTGCAGTAATGGGTCCAGGATGAAGGGTGAGGGTGAGGTCCACAAGTAGAAGAGAGAACATAGGGAGCACGGAAGATAGAAGGAAAACCTCTCGAGCCCTCACTCTTAGCATCACTCCCTCTTCGCTCCTACCTTTCTGGTCCATCTCCAACCACATCCGTTTCTTTGAGTAATAAGCATTGGCCAACAACAATCGAAACTCAGGGGGTTTTCCCAAGCCTATTACACTGAATAGTAAAATTGTAAAAATAGTTATTGTATGGTTTGTGTTTCTGATATAATTTTTATACTTTATTATATGCTTCCTTTTGTGCCTTATGTATGAGCTAGATTTGCCTTCTCTTTCTATTTAAAATGCATAAGGAATCTAAGAATGAGTGTTAAACTATGGAGAATTTTAAGAGACTGAATTTCTTCCCAAGTTGGATTGTGTTCACAGAGAAGGAAAGGGAGCCTCTTATTTTTCATTAAAAAAAAAAAACCTAGTGGCTAATTAAATAGGAACATTGTTGGACTCAGATGACAAGTTCTGAAAGAATGCCTCAGTCACAACAGTCTGATATGATGCACGCTTCACGCACTCCACGCTTAGAATGCTTCCTGGTATGAGACAGTACTCACAAAGCAGATTCAGCAAGACTTTGCGTAGTGTGGGTAACGCCACTCCTTAATCTGCGGCTGGCATTGTGGTTAAAAGAAAAAAGGCCTTCCCCCTCCTTCTGGCACTGACTGAAAGTTTGCAGCATTCCCAACTCTTACTGGCACAGGGTTCAAGGACTAGGGCAGAGTCTCTAACCTGAGACTCCACTCCCTACGGTGCAGAATAGTGTCAGGCAGCCAACAGCCTCAAATTACCCTTAAGAATTTTAGGAAGTAGCCATTTAATGGGTATCAGGTTCTTTGAATCTTTGTTTTAAATGTGTAGAGCTCCTGTTTCTATAAATATTTTTGTTCAGTTTATATGCGTAACAAGGAAGATGTCATAGCAAAGCTAAAGAATGTTTACCCTATCCATATATAGTGGAATTATATATCTGCTAAAACATCTAAGGCTTTATCTTGCCTGTTTATAGGGTCATTTAACTCACCTGTAATTTTGTAACTGGCTTGGGTCTGTTTTACCATGTGAAATCATCTAGTTATTACCAATGTAAGCAACTTGTACATGTGTATGCCATATATATTGCTATATCTCCATATCAATCTATCAATCTGTTTATCTATAGGAATTATCTCTCCCTAAGGAGCACAGACCCTTTAAATAGTACTCTGATTTAAATCTAAGTAATATTTATAATCAGAGCTAAACACTTCCCTGGGAGATTTAGTAGACAATACTAAAAGTAGGTCAGCAGCATTTAAGTCTTCCTTATCCCCTCTTCACAATCCCTGTCAAGTCTCTCTGCCTTTATTATTTGCAACAGAGTCCTTTATTTGCTTTTTCTCATTTTCCTGAGCTTTGAATTCCTACTGAAAGGTACAACGTAGGGACCAGAAAAGAGATCTCTTCAGCTAACCTTGGTCTGCTTTTCTGTAGTCATCCCAGTTTCGCTTATAGAATTGGCTTTATAGGTTATTTTGATGCTGTGCTGATAAATGTTTACAACTAGCTCTCTGAAAATATAAAGATAGCTGATTTGTAGCTTTTGACAATTTTCATGGTGTAAATAATCCCACCACGGCTCATAGCAAGCTACCAGTGTGAGTCGGGAAAAGGTGGGCAGTAGTTCACATCACATAGTGTTCCCACCATGCAGATAAAACAGATGTAAATATCCTTAATAGCACAGTTAGTAGTAAAATGTATGAAAATAATTAGAAAGTGGTGAGTTTTGGTTTTTTATTACCTTCATTTTGGTTTACCTAATTTAAACCTTATACAATGTAATTTTTAAAATAATGGCTGTGTCTTGCAATTGGCTTGCAAAATTCCTGAAAATTTAACAGTTGTCTCCTGCAAACTGGTATGGACTGATGCTAGGACACCTCTGTTTTATAAATTCATTGGAAGAATATCATTAATTATGGTTATGAAAGGCAATAAAAACTGAAAGCCAGAAAAATTAGTGCAGTTTTAAGTCTAAAGGTTGGTTGGGCAAAGACATAATTGGGGAAATGAGTCCCAAGGTCAGAAGGCAGGAATATTAGGGAACTTGTGACACTGTGTGTGTGCTCCTGTCCTAGGGGCGCCATAACAAAATATCATGAACTGAGTTGCTTAAAACAACAGCAATTTATTGTCTGACAGTTCTGTAGGCTAGAAGTCCAAAATCAAGGTGTGGACAGGGCCCTGCTGCCTCCAAAGCCTCTAGGGAAGGATCCTTCTTTGTGTTTTCCAGCTTCTGGTAGGCCCCGGCATTCCTTGGCGTGGGGCAGTATATCTCCAATCACTGCCTCTGCCTTTAAATGGCTGTTTTCCCTCTATGTTTAACTTTCTCTCTTCTTATAAGGACACCAGTCATGTTGGATTAAAGGTCCACACCACTCCTGTATATCTTAACTTAGCAAGTTACAACTGCAATGTCCATTCCCCAAATAAGGTTACATTCTGAGGTATCAAAGGGTTATGACTTCAATATATTTTTGGGGGAAGACATAATTCATCCCATAATGCTGTAGTGTTGGGTCTTGGAGGTATACTTTAGACATGAGGCTATGAAAAATATGACAAAACTGGAATCTTTTTGTTTCATACTTTTTTTATTTGGCAGCAGTATAAAGGCAGCCCAAAGGCTTAAAGCCACAGGGAAGGCTGGGCGCGGTGCCTCACGCCTGTAATCCTAGCTCTCTGGGAGGCCGAGGCGGGCGAATTGTTTGAGCTCAGGAGTTCGAGACCAGCCTGAGCAAGGGGAGACCCCGTCTCTACTAAAAATAGAATGAAATTAACAGGACAACTAAGAATATATAGAAAAAATTAGCCGGGCGTGGTGGCACATGCCTGTAGTCGCAGCTACTCGGGAGGCTGAGGCAGGAGGATGGCTTGAGCCCAGGAGTTTGAGGTTGCTGTGAGCTAGGCTGACGCCATGGCACTCTAGCCCGGGCAACACAGTGAGACTCTGTCTCAAAAAAAA